CTTCAGCTGCTGCTCCTTCAGCTGCTTCTCCAGCTGCTGCTTCAGCTTCTCCTTCAGCTGCTGCTTCAGCTGCTTCTCCAGCTGCTGCTCGGCTGAGCCGAAGAGGCCGAATCAGGTGAAGAAAAACAAACTCCCCAAATATAAAGAAAACCAACAGATTGATCTGTTATTAAGTCAAGAGGGACACGACAGAGAAAATGAAACCAGGTGAGCATTACCTGAGGGGGCGGAGCCTCTTACAACCCACGTTTCTATAAAAAAAAAAAAAAAAAACCTTTACTGAAAATGATAATTCGCCTGATTTACATGAACGCCTCTCACCGAGGTAAAAATCTAAATAAGAAAAGTGGAACAACTTTTCTGGTCCTCTGAAACAATCAGTGATTGACGTAAAACTTAGTTTGTAAAAAGTTTTAGCTCGTTTCTAAAGTTCCAAACAATAAAACAGGGTTTGTGTTTCTGGTGCTGTGAGACAGAAATAATTTAAAAAAACAGCAGATTCATTTTAAAAAGATTAAAAAATAAACAGCTTTAAACTGAACTGAGGAACAGCTTTTTAACATTTATTCAAATAAACTCAAACTAAACTGATCTGTAGAAACATAAGGAATGATATTTGCACATTTATTAATTCTCAACTACTTCTGTTTCTGATAATTATCACTTGTTGCCTTAAAAGGCTGATCTGTCAGTCTGTTAGCAAAATATCTCATGAACCTGTGAATGGGTTTAAATGAAAAACTGCATCAACAACAGAGGCAACCCAAATCAAGATGGCCGCCACAGCTAATAAAGCTGTATGGTTCAGAACCACAGAGGGTGACGCATCAGGACCAGGTCCGGTCCGTTGAGGCGAACCCTGGAACACGATGAGGAGCGTTCAGGTGCTCGTTGTGAAGCAGCGGGTCATCAATCATGGGCTGCTGCTCAGACACGAGTCCAGAAGGTCTCACCTCCTCCGGTGGGCGACTCGCAGCTCTAATGCCTCCTGGGCCTCTGCCCCGCTCCTCTCAGGCCGTCCTCATCAATAGTCTCCTCCTCGCCGTCGGCCTGTCTGCGCCTCCCCCTCCAGCTTTTCCTGTCCGCCGTGTCAAGCAGCAGCTCGGGCAGAGTGCCCTAAGCCTCTGAAACCATCGCGCCGCAAACACACTTTGAGCCTGCAGGAGGAAGTGCAGCGGCTGCCAGAGATAAAGTGGAGGGCCACAAACAGAGTAACCGAGCTCATTAATGGAGGTGGCTCCGCATCCTGCTGGAGAACCATCGATGACATCATCTGCACCAGGCTCAGGGCCATTGACAAATTTGACGTACGTGGAAAAGACTCGAGACGAAGAAGTGGAGCTCCAAGGAAACACAAGGTCTGAGCGCTGCAGACCAGGAGCAGCAAGGACGCCGAGAGGCTCAGGGTTCCTGCACCAAGACGGCTCCCGTTGTTCAACAGGAACTGGAGCCTGACCGATATGGAAACTTTGACCATCACCAATACAGATACTGGGAGGGTCAGTCTAATGCCGATAATCGATATGACAGAAAAATTCTGGGCTTTGTCCACCCCAAGAATCAAACGGCTACTTTTAAACCTGTTTTAACTCTTGAAGTCTTGAAACAGTCTTTCTAACGTGCGTTCACTTTTTCTATCCTCCACTAGTCACCATAAAGTTATCAAGTGTGTTACAGAAATATCAAACAAAGAAACTTCCTGATCATCGTTTGGTCAGTCACGTACGCTGAAGGTCCAACCGCAGCAGAGTTTATTTTTCTTTGTAGAGAAGTAAAGACTTCAGACAAACATTGTATTTCATGGAGGACAAAGATAACATTATATTTTACTTCTACGTTAGATTTATTGTTCTGGATAAAGATTTACAAGACAATAGTCTATGCTAGGTTATCTAAACGTTAGCTTGCTAACTTCAGAGGCACGTAGCTAATGACAAGCAGGCTGGAGGACTTAAGAGAATTTATTATTTTTGATTTATTTTACAGATCAGTGAAAATAAATATACCATGTTCTGTTCAGAAAAATATGCAGCGTTTACTGTAGTTGTTGCTGCTTCGGCTGCGCTGAAAGTGAAACTTAAGTGAACGGCCACGACTTGAAAGTAGTCCCCAAGCGCCCTCTGCTGGATACATTATACAATTACACAGTTTGTAAGTGAGGACACGGCTCCTTCCCAGTGTTTGTATCGGTGCATAATGGGACAATTATCACAGATATTTCATTCATTCAACCTTTATTTACAGGTAAATCCCACTGAGCCTCGAGGACTCATTTACAAGAGAGAGATGTCCCCAAAACGTCTAGATCGGCCTAAAATATCAGCCCTACCGATACATCGGGCGAGCTCTAACCAAAACATCTGAAACGTTTTCTGATCGCTCCGAACGATCAGCTCGTTCAACTACTGAGCGAAGAGATAAAACGGTAACGGCTGCGTGAAGTCGTTTTAACGACTTCCATCTTTGAAAATCAGAACAATTAACTGAACCTGAAGAATCAGAGCAAAGAGATGAAATTCATCTGAATCCACATTTATTAAGCTTTGATTAATATTCAGACTGATGACATCGTCACTTTAGAAAAGCAACATATTTCTAAACTAAATTAGAAAAATATTGTTTTTATTTTACGAGAAATGTTGAATGTTGTTGATCTCCACCTGGATGGGCGTTCTAGATTTAAGTTAGTTGGGTGGAAAAACGTCCGGTCGAGTTCAGCCTCCCTGCATCGTTCCTCAGAGCGGGCTGACCGACAGGTTCGACTTGTCTCATTTTCCTTCGACGGCTGGAAGTTTTAAAGACGTTCACCTTCGCAGCCGAACTGTCGGAGCACCTGCAGCTGCTTCCTCCACCTCAGAACATGACTTGGCACCTGAAGTGTTTCTGCTGCACGGCGTTGTTGTTCATGCCCACCTTCAGCATCCACCTGGACTTCATCCTCTGGACGAACTGCATGTCCCTCCGGCTCTGATGAGACAAGCCGCTACCTGAGGGGGACACAGGACGGTCCGTCACGATCAGGACAAGATTTGGACACAGTTAAAGAAGTGAGGAGCATCAGAATAACTTCTTCCTGCCGTCAAGAGTTCATTTTCAAAGGATTAGAAAAGAGACGATCTGCTGACAGGACACGAGCTGAACCATCAGACCCACTGGTCCAGCAGACTGGTGTCCAGCTGCAGGACTGGGTGTGAGGAGTCAGCTTTAATTAGACCGTGTGGACGTCTCTGAGCTCAGCGCTCGTTACAGTTTCTCCAGCTGCTGACAGATGTGGTGGAATAACAACCTCTGCAGGAGCATCAGAGGACCCGTGCAGCTGGACCCGGTTGGGGGGCAGAGATATTTGAGGAAATATCTAATTATTGCCTCTAATAAATACTTTTGTTGTTTGTTTGAGGAAGTTAAAGCTACAGAAAAGCTCTTGGGGGGGGGGGGGGGGGGGGTGTGTCAGACAAAGTTAAAAAATGTAAAAAGAGAAATATTAAAGATTACTGCAGTGCCCTAAAGGCGTCTTAGTAAAACTTGAAGTTTTCAGGTGTTTAATAAAGACAAGCGTTTCTTCTGAGGGGCAGTGAATGCACCGTGGTGTAAATAAAGATGGAGGAGGAGCGTTGGGGCCTCACCTCTGTCCCCCCCCCAGCCGAGGGCTTTGTACTGCCGCAGGACTCGGCCGACGGCGTTCCTGTTGTGGCTCAGAGCGACGGCTCGCTGCGCTCCAAAGCGCTGCTTGTAGTACCTCATGAGGGAGCGATGGCCGATCGTAGCGCCTGAACAAACCAGTTCAGTCTGGATCAGAACACAGAACTGGACCTTCAACGTTTAAAGACAGATGGACAACAGACGCACCTGAAGGGAGCGTCAGCTCCAGAGTTTCATCAGCATACTCCAGATTCTTGTCGTCAGGCAGCTCTTCATCATCCTCTCCCTCCTTCCTGTCAGGATAGCTGCTCCTGTTGGCACAAACCAAAAGTTTCATCTCGGCCGCGTCCACTCATCGAGCTTAAAAAGGCTCTTCTTGGGGAAACATTCATTAAAAGTGACATAAATGACCTAAAGTCATAGAAGTCTGCGAACTCCAGCGCTGCGTCTCCGTCTGCGAAGAGCTTACAGTGGCTTTTGTCCGTCATGTGTCTCTGGACGGCTTCAGTGGAGTAAAACGAGCGCCCCTTCTCGTTACACCACAAACACACGTTCCCCGCTCCAACCTTCTCACCTGCAACACAAATGAAGACAAACTAAGTTTACGTTTGGCCACAGAGCACAAACTGAAGAGAAAATCCGATTCTTTTAAGTTCGTTGGGACAAACGAGACGAGTGAGGCAGATTCATCGTTCCCGTCACGTCAAACCTCAAACAATCAACACGATCTGAAAGAAGCTCAAAGCTGCTACTTGAACAAACTTCATGGTTTAGAGAGCGAGTTTTATTAAACTACCAGTTCACACATGAAGGTTGGCTTCTCCTGCAGAGCCAACTCTGCTCACATGAACTCCGAACGACGTAAACTCGTGTAAAACCAGAGAATCTGACCTCGCCAGCGTCTGGAACGATGCGGCCGAAACATAAACCCACGTTCAAGACAAAAAACAAAAAAACACAAAAAGCTACAACTTGAAATGTGTTTAAAATAAAAAGTGAATTAAAAAAACTGAACGGTGCAGCGCACGCCCCCTCCCAGCTCACCCAGGTACCGGATGAGACCCTTCAGGTCCACGAGGAACTCCACGTCCGGGAGGAAGAAGCTGTGGACTTTGGTCATGTGGGCCACGTTCTTCAGCAGCGACTTGGAGTGGTGCGAGCAGAACAGGCAGTCTGTGACCGGGATGGATCTGAGCAGAGGGGCCGCTCTGGAGTCCGATGGAGACGAAGAGTCCCCCTGCTCCTGATCCATCGCCTCCTCGTCTTCATCCTCCATGTCATCATCATCATCATCATCATCAACGTCCTCCCACTCACCTGGAAGATGATAATTCAAATTTAAGACAAGCTGCCTTTAGCTCCCAGTCACCAAGATTTTATATTTTACAGCCAATTCCTTTAGATATTATTTATATTTTAAAGAAATAAGTGACTGACAACAAACTTTTCTTCCACTTGTTTCAGATCTTGAAGATAAACAATGGAATGGTCTTAATAAGGAGTTAAACTAAATTAGGGTTTAATTAAATAAAGTTAAAGGTTATAATGTGAAGTGAACTCTGAGATCAGTGAATCATTTTTGTGTCTTGAGGATTTTCTCTTGGATCATTTTGTCGTGGGATGGATTACGATAAAATGTACAAACACTGAAACACAATAAAACATAAATTATAATCCCTTGAACCAACGTTTCAGGCTCAGTCTGACACGGACGGACCTAATCATCTGAAGAACAGCGGTTACCTTCGTCAGCCGTGGCTCCTTCGGTCTCCCTCCTCTTGACTTGCTCTTCCAGCCACATCGTGCGAGGCGGCTTGTCTGGTTTCTCCGTCTTCGTGGCTGCGTGTGAACTCTGGACCTTCCTCTGCTGCTCCCTCAGGGCCTGCTGCAGGGCCTCGTTCCTCGTGTCGTTATCCTCCCTCTCATCGCCGAGCCCCTTCTCCAGGTTCTTCTCGTTCATCTTCTCCACCTTCCTCTGCGCGGCGAGCAGCGCCTGCCTCTCGGCCTGCTGGTGTTTGTGGGACTGCAGGTGGTTCTGGTGCGCGTTGGCGCTGGAGAACTTCTTGTTGCAGACCGAGCAGCTCTCTGTGAGCGAGGCGTCCGTCAGCTGCTGCTGGGCAGTCGCCCTCTGTGCCAGGACGCGCTCCTGGAAGTTTTCGGCGGTGACGGGCGGCATGTCGGCCACTTTGCGCTTCAAGTTGTAGCGGTGCCAGTCGGTTTTGTAGTGCGCTCGCTGCACCTCGCCGTCTGTAAAGGCCACGCGGCAGCTGATGCAGGTGTAGGCAGCCATGATGACCTAAAGATCAAATTCATGTTTACCACTCAGCACAGATGTACAACACTACTGTTAGACTCTTAAAGTCGTGATTTAGAAAAACAAATCTTGGTTTTAGACATACTAATGTGTTTTGTTGTTGTTTTCTGTTTTATAAAGAAACACTTCAGTGATCATTCTTAGATCATTAAATCACAAGGACTCAGGAGGGAGTTTAAATCTGCTAGAAAGAAAATCAAAAAGCACCTAAAAGCTGTCAGGATTCAGGAAGAATAAAATGAAGATGAAAGAAAAAAGCCCCACACAAAATTAAAACTAATTAAAAGAAACAGCACGAAGCAGCTCAATAAAAAACATTTAGTCACTTATGCCTGGTAGATGTTGCCAACTAACATAAACTACAACTGACATTGTTCTCATTGTTAAAGTTAAATTATATTCAACAAATAAAATTACATTCAGTCTGATTCGGTGATAAAACTGACTTTTAGGTTTGCGTCAATCTGATATAAACTGCGCTAATCTGTTAGCAACAAGCTAACCAACAGGCGAGGTGTAAACATCCGCTAAAAATACACATTTACAGCAACTGACAAACATCAGACTTTACTTATTTACGACCTAAAACTTGGGTTCAAACAATAACTTACCTTTCTGGAGAGCTGGCTTCTGAAAACGAAGTGTTTTAATCGATTTTATTGATCACGTTGCTAATGTCAGCGCAGCTACCAACACGAGGGTAACTTCCGGGGTGAACGTTCTTCTTCTTCTTCTTCTTCTTCTTTAAAAACAGCAGCTTGTGTGGCAAAACATTACTGCCATCTACTGGAGTTTCTGGGAAACAGCACGGCTTGAACATGTTCCCCAGTGAAACGAAGAAACACCCGAGAAAATATTTCTACTCCATACTTCCTGCTGGCTGACACGAGGAGCTCCCAAATGACTCAAACCCAAATGTTTTACTTCGAAAGAACATACCGGAAGTACTGTGTGTTTGCATGAAAGGCACTTGACTAAACATGTACTTACGAATGTTGACCACTAGAGGGCAGTGAACAAACATGTTTATAGTTAGTTATAGTTAGGAGCAAAAAAATAAAGGGATTAACTGGTTGTAACTGTCAAAACGAATGGTTTATGGACAAAGATGGACAAAAAGGTAAAACTAAACTATTAATAAAATTAACTTGCTTTCAGGTGAGACATTTAAAACAGATATATTGTTGTCACAAACACTTTTATTGTAAAGTCTGAAATAAACGGAGTGCAGAACTGTGTCAAAGTTTAGTGATGGGAAAAACCCACATTAAAAATATTGATGGATAACTCTGGGATGAATTCAGTCAATTAAAAACTAATCTTTTCTTATACGATTTAACTAAACTTAGCATAAAATAGGAACATTTGTGACCTAACGAACATATATATATATATATATATATATATATATATTACATAAACCGAATATTTAAACTTTTACAAACATTAATTCCTTTATTTTGTATTGCTGATGATTTTCAGCATAGATTGTGAAAATAGAAATTAATACGTATAATGTCTATGATTGTAAACGTTTGAGTTTACTGCCCTCTTGTGGCTGAGTTGTGCAACTACAAGTTAGATCTATAAAATAAACCAGCGCAAACAAAAACATCCTGTGATTTAAAAAAAATAGACATTTTAAAACAATAAAACAATGAAAAGTTCAGTTAGTTTGGAGCTCTTATTGTAAGTAGTTTAAAGTTGTAGTTCTGTATTTTTATAATAAAAATAAAAAACGACCATTGCGCAAGAAAGAAACTGTTAACATTAAAACAAAGTAACAGTTTGTAACATTTGTGGGGAACTAATAGATTATGAGTGAATCGGGTGAAGACATTTTTCTTTATTCTCTTATTATTAAAAAAATATATCTTAACCGCCATTTGTTAAAGGATTTATTACTGAAATAATTTTATATTTACAATCAAGTAGATTTTTCTAATTTAGTTTGAGATCCACATCTTTGGGTAGTGAAAAATATGGTTCAATGTAATAAAATAACTAAGTAAACTTTAGCTAAAGTGTCTTAAATTTTGGATAAAAAAAGATAATGTAATGAGCGTGTAACAGTTACAATAAAACTATGTGTCACAAAAATGTATTATTATTTTAATTTGACTCATGCTCAGTCACTTTATAACAAAAAAGTTTAAATCGTGTTGGATGACTGAGTTTACAAACTTTTTTCAATCGCTTTATGTTAAACACTCGCCGGAAAAAGTTTTTTTTTAAACCCAACATTTTTCAGTCAGGTCATCTGGACAGTTTCTTTTTTTGTGCTGAAATGTTTCGCCTTCAATCCAGAAGGCTTCATCAGTCGAGGAAACAACAAAACTGATTCTTCCTCCAACAGCTTACTCTAAAGTGGAACAAACCTTAACCGCCTTTAACGTTTCAAATGAATATAATATAACAAATGTTTTCTGTCAAAACTTACCGGTACATTTATTATTTTAGTTCATCTTATAAAACGCCCACTTGATTTTTAAATAGCCAAACTTTAGAGCTCCTAAAATAGTTAAAGTTTTAATTAGCTTGTTGTTTCTCTTTTAGACGACAAGGTGGAAGTAAAATCAGTTTGATAAGGGTTAATAAATATTTAATACAACAGTATTTAATAAACATTCACTGAAAATAGTTTGATTTTTTTTATTTTTTACAAATAAATTTAGATTCAGTTTGTAGTTCCTCGGTTTTACCACAAGATGAAGGAACACGTTTCAAAGCCAGTCACAGTTCAATTAAGTAAATTACAATGAGGTTGATCAGTTAAAACTTAATTTTTACCTTGTATTATAAAATGTTAAATTACGTTTTTTTTAAAGAACTTTATTTACTTTGTAATGTTTTTTTTTTTTTACATATAAGCTTGTAGTTTTGATTCTTGACCACAAGAGGGCAGTGAAATAACACTTGTATTCAGGTTAAAAAAAAAGGTAATGAAACGAGTCTGTAACTGTTACAATAAATGGACTATAACTAAAATCATTTGTCACAACTAAACTTTACTTTCATTATTATTTTAATTTGACTCTGTATAGAAAATGCTCAATCGCTTTATGTTTAAACACTCGCCGCAAACGTGTTTTTTTTAAATCGCTTGTAGTTACAAATGTTCGCCACAAGAGGGCGGCAAAGAAACACGTCTTGAAGCGGGAACTGTTAAGAACTGGAAAAGTTCGTAACAGTTTAAATAAAGATTAAATCAAATTAGTTCGTCAAAAAATGAAAAATTATCTCAATATTTATTCTTGTTTCAATTAAACTAAAAGGTCTTTATTAGTAGGTAAAGTTTATTGTGTATTTTTTTTTTCCAGTTCAGCTTGTAGTTCTATATTTGTACCACAAGAGGGCAGTATAATAACACGTCTGATGGGGCCCAACAAAACAACAACTTGAAAAGATGGTAACAGTTTAAATAAACAAATTAGAGCAAATTAATCTATCAGAAATTAAAAATTAACTCAATATTTATTCTTGTTTCAAACTAAAATGTCTTTATTGGTAGGTAGAGTTGAATGTTTATTTATTTTCCATGTATCCTGCAGTTCTACAAATTGACCACAAGAGGGCAGTATAATAACACGTCTGATGGGGGCCTCAAAAATACTCAACTGGAAAAGTTTGTAACAATTTAAATAAATAGATTAAATCAAATTAATCCGTAACAATTGAAATTTTAATTTAATCTGTATTCTTGTTTAAATTTACTTAAATTAAATTAGACCTTTATTTATATAGGTTAGTTCCCATTGAGCCTTGAAGACTCATTTACAAGAGAGACATGATTGAAAGGTTTTTATTGTTAGGACGTGTTTAATGTTTGTATTTTCTATTTAAAAAACACGTTTCATTGTTTGCAAAAGGACGCGAGCTCCTTCAGAACAGATCCAAACAGTTTGTAACAATTTAAATAAAGTGATCGCTTCATTTTTAAAGGAATAATTTAAATTACTTTAATGTTATTTTTACTGATCTGACTTGTTCTATATAAGAAGAAATATTCATTTAGGCAGGCAACAAAACAAAAACCTGAAAGTGTCTGGAACATAAAAATAAATTACACATTAGTAATAAAGTTATCAACACTAAAATTTAGTTTTTTTGTTTTCCTTGGCTTTAATTTTAAAAGACCAAAGAGTGAACATAACTGTGGTAGATTTATTTTAAAACCATTCTAATCTCACCGTAAATAACATGTTTTATCAAATAAACTCGGAACATTTAAAAAACTTCTGCTTTAAACATGAACACTACGTTACAACGAACGTGCTTCGAGTATTTGTGAAAAGTTTTCTTTTATTTTCTGAGTGGAAGAAGACACAAGTAAATTCCTAAAATCACATTAAATCAAGACAGGGAGGTTTTTAATGCCATTATCTCAGGGCAGTAATTTGAGTTTACATGTTGAGAGCTTAAATAAATCACAAGTAAAGAAAATAACTACTTTTACTAAACTCATTAAATTATTTTATCCATTATTTTTTAAAATCATGCCAAGCATCACGGCAGCGCTTCAGATCTAAATGTCATTTAGACGTCTTGCTCTGGAGCATTTTTAATGCACATTACATCTTCTGCGTTCTTCTGGTCCTTCGGGACAAAATGTCAACACAAGGTGCAAAACAAGAACTCATGTTCTCATCAGATTTATCTCGTCATCTCCAGAAAACAAAGCTTCTTTCTTTAAGTTGACAAGATTAAAGTTCTCTGGTTGTCCTATAAGGTAGAAGTCAACAACCTGCAGCAAACTCAAACGAACACCTCCATTCTTTGAAAAGCATGAAAAAGGAAAACCCAAGAGCAGCGCAGACTTTACATCGTTAAATCCTCAGCTGCTAACAAAACGTCTGGGTCTATCTGGGTTTACAGAACTCTGCAGAGTCTCCAGGCCAGTAAATCCAAAGTCCGGCGTGGAGCGGCTGAGTGAAGGCGGTCTGGACTCTGTGGAGGAGAGTCCTGGTTTCAGAGACGCTGTAGAAGGACAGAAGACCTGCTCTGTGGTCCAGGTACACTCCGATCCTGGAGGAACCAGGACCTGAGATGGAGGTGCTGCTGTTCTTGTGGAAAAGCTTATATTGGCTCTGATAACAGTCCAGCGCCCAGGATTTGTCATTGCGTCCAAATACAGATCCGCCTCCAGTTCTGCTGATGTTCTTTTGCACGACGGCTATGAAACCTCCACTTCCTGTCCACTCCACCTCCCAGTAGCACCGTCCCATCAGCCCCTCTCTGCTCAGAACCTGACAGCAACTAGTGAATCGGTCCGGGTGCTTGGGACAGGACTGAGGTTGCTTCATTAATGTTGCCTTTAGACCCCCCTCTGACAGGAGCAGCTGCTGGTGGGCTGTGTTGGGGTCCAGGGTGATGTCACAGGAATATCTCAAGAAGTCCGTTTTGCTTGTTGGTTCTGGTTCAGGCAGAAGAGCCTCAGGCTGGGGTTTGTTCAGAGAGCTGTCTCTCAGGGTGTCCTGCAGGACATCTCTGAGCTCCTCCACAGCTGCTGTCACGTCCTCAAAGTATCTCAGAGGACGGATGTTGACCCTGGATGAGTGTGGAGACTCACCCAGTGCTGACACTGACTGGTAGTTGTGGAGAAACTGGTTGTGGTCCTCTGTGTGTGAGAGCTGCTTCAGCTCAGCATCTTTCCTCTTCAGCTCAGTGATCTCCTGCTCCAGCTTCTCCTGAAGCTCCAAGACTCGCCTCACTTCAGTTTCCTGCTGGGATCTGATCTGCTGCTTCACATCAGAGCTTCTCTTCTGGATGAGACGGATCAGCTGAGTGAAGATCTCCTCACTGTCCTCCACTGTTTGATCAGCAGAGTGATTGATGGCCTCCACCTCCTGTTGAAGCAGCTCCACATCTTTCTCTCTGTCCTGGATCTCCTGCTGGATTGTTTCTCGTCTCACCTCGAGCTCTCTCTGCCTCTCGGTCCTTTCTGCTGCAGCTGAGACTGTGTCGTGGCCTCCATGTTCATCCACAGAGCAGAGATAACAGATACACTTCTGATCCGTACGGCAGAACATCTTCATCACCTCATCATGACGAGAGCAGATGTTCTCCTGGAGGTTCTTGGAGGGCTCCACCAGCTTGTGTTTCTGAAGTGGAGCTGACTCATAATGAGGCTGAAGGTGTTTCTCACAGTAAGAGGCCAGACAGACTAAACAGGACTTGATGGCTTTCAGTTTTCTTCCAGAGCAGACATCACAGGACACATCTTCAGGTCCAGCATAGCAGTGATCAGCAGGAGCAGCTTGGAGTCCAGTCTTCTTCAGCTGCTCCACTAATTCAGCCAACATGGTGTTTTTCACCAGGGCAGGCTTCTGTAGAAATGTTTCTCTGCACTGAGGGCATCTGTAGAGCCGCCTCTCCTCCTCTTCATCCCAGTGGGATTTAATGCAGCTCATGCAGTAGCTGTGTCCACAGGGAATAGCAACTGGATCCACCAGTAGATCCAAACAGATCGAGCAGGAAAACGTTTCTAGATCCAACTGATTTGCTCTCTCCATGTCAGTTCTCAGGAACAGTGACTGGGTGAGTTTTTAATGCATCTATTTGAAAGTTTAGCTCTGAGGAGGAGGCAGGAAGGAAATATGCAGAAAGACTGGCGCTGCCTGAGAAAAGGAACAGGTTCATCAAGTTTGTTCACATCGGGGCAGAAAAAAACTCGTCATTTACAGTAAAGAGTCAGGTGGACGTTTAGAACAGCTCCGCGTTTTACAGTTTCACAAAGACACGTGTTCTTTCTCAAGTTTATGAAAAACAAGTCAGGCCACCGGTGAAAACATCACAGTAATAATACAGAAAGCTGCCCAGTACTTTCCCAGTACTTGTGGTGCATTTACATACTTTTCAGCTTTTATTGCTCCACTTTTGTTCCATCAGCAAAATATCTCACGAGTCACTGAAATGATTTTAATGAAACTCCTCAAAAGTAACCACCTACTCCTGGATCCGATTCAAAATGGCCGCCTCAGCCTTAGCAAACACATTAATGGAGATAACGCTGTCGGTGTTGGGAGCTGACATCCAGCAAGGTCAACACTGACCCCTGAATGATTCTGTGGCGAACAAGAAGGCCCGTGGCTGCCAGGAGATGATGAGGGGCTGGGCTGGCACCAGGTGGGAGGGTGCCGCTGATCGGCACCGCCGGCGGTGAAGACAGCCAAGTAGGGGAGCTGTTCCTGTGATAGGAGGAGAGGCTGGTTGCCTCTTTTAGGCAGCGAGGGACTGGGGGGGTTAGACGAGCCCTTTAAACCAGATCTGACATACCTGATTGAGGTGTGTTCCAGTGAATCAAGTGGAACCTCACCTGCCAGTTTGATCCACAGGGTGACCAGGGTTCCTCTGTCTTGGGGAGACAGTCCTGAGCCAGCGGTGCGTCCATCCAACCGAGGGGGTTTCCTGCACTTAGACCCCACTGGGGGGTCTCGTCAGCTATGAACTCTTGTACCAGCTGACTGTTTTTAATCTGTGGGATTGGTCGGATCGCTTTAATGAGCAGTGTTACAGTAGCGGGGACCGTTTCATTCAGTTTTCCCTCCTCCCTGTTCGCTGTGCTGTTTAGACCGTGGGCCGTTTGGGTTGAAGTGGTGCGGGTTCTGGACAGGAGGCCTGGGCGGGCCTTGGGTGTTCTCAGTGGACGCGGAACCAAATTCCTCTTAGGGTTTTAGAGTTTAGATCATGAATAGAGATTTATATGTTTGATAAAGCAACGATTCCTGTGCATTATTCTCTGCCTCACAAAAAAATGTTACAATACTCGGGGCCAGCTGACTGTGCAGGATCTGTTTCAGACTTTACCATTACCTCCAACTCTGTTAGTAAAATACCCCATGAAACACAGGAAAAATTAATTATAGGTTTACAACTGATTGGCTTTTGGTGTCAACCTGATTCAAGATGGCAGCTGCAGATCATTGACTTTGGCGCCTACACAAACGGCCCCAAACTCTGTGGACTTTACAGATGTTAGGCTGGAACTTGGTGTGGTAGTAGCTGAGAGTCGTTCACCCCACATCTGTCAAATACAGACTCTTAATGAGTAAAGAGCCACAAAACAAGTCACAGCGTTCAGTTGGTCTTTTACAAACACACACGCACTTTAAACTGCAGAACATCTTGCTCTTCAACCTGCACGAAACATCTGGACATTCTTCCTCAGAAATACCTTCCAAAGACTTTAATCTTCCACGAATCTCCAGTCAAGTTCACGTTCAAACAGGAAGAAGTGTGAGGTGAGTGCAGGTGATAGTCTGTGCAGCACCGCCCTCGTGTGACCAAAGTTTGTAACTGCAGTTTTAAACGAACTGGGGGTTGAACAAAACAATTGTTTCATCATTGTTCTGCTTTTGTTCATAAACAATATTGTCATAAAGTACAAATTAAAACTTGGATGCACTTGTATATATCTTAAAGAGATATTTCCAAGATCTAGGTGGGAAATAACATTTAACTGTAGACGCTTTGTGTGCAGTGAGCTGTCTGGACCGTATTTCTTTCAGATTTCTTTGGTCTCAATGACCAGCTGTGAGAAAAACCCCACAAATATAAACAACATTAAACTTGTGGCTCAGTCAGGAATAGCACACACTGACCTTTGCACAGATCCAGAGAGTTTTTCTGAGATCCTGGTTGGAAGCACGGCCGGTGGGATTTACTGGAGACGTAGATGATCATCAAACTCCAACAGCGGGGTCTGCACGCTCTGCTCCCGTCTATCCACCTGGCAAACTCCTAGCAAATAAAACGGACGAGCTTTTCCTTCTGAGCACAAGAAACTCTGATTTGGATCTGCCGCTCTCTGCTTCACCGTAAGCTGGACCAGTGAACTTATCCCAGACAGCAGACTTCAGATGACGGGCTTCCAGATGTTTTGAGCGGACCGCAGCTCAGAGCTCGCAGGGACATATAACCTAGACTGTGAAACATGTATTAAGGGTAAATTTACTCAAAGTAGAAATAGGAAAGCTGATGCAAAAGCATAAACAGCTCTTGAACTAGTGCCTACAGATTTAGCTGGCCCTATTGAGCCTGCTGCAAGAGATGGATGTAAGTACACACTAGCATTTACTGATGACGCTTCAAGTGCAACATTTGTCTATTTCTGAAGGCTAAAAGTGACACAGTCAAAGCTATTGCAGATGTAGCCTCCTACACATTTTAATAATTTAGCAATGAGCCACAAAACAAGTCGCAGCGTTCAATTGGTCTTTTACAAACAGTTTCATTCCACCACATGTACCACATGTGTACAGATGACAAGTAAAGAAACTCTGACTGTATGGAAAGGTGAAGTGCATTAGGTCAGATAACGAACGGCACAGAGTTCACGTCAAAGGACTTTCAGTCTTTATTGAGTAAAAACGTTATTCAGCATGAGACATCTGCTCCTTACTCACCCCACCAACATGGGACAGCTGAAAGAAGCTGGTTCTGGTTGACATGGCAACATGCATGATGATGGAGTGACTTACCCAAAGAGCTCTGGACTTATGCTGTAATGATTTCTGCAGTTATACGCAACAGGTGCTTTAAAAAACGTATTTGGGGCAAACCCCGTATTATATGATGACAGGAAGGAAACCTGATCTTTCTAAAATGAAGGAGTTTGGATCCATGTGCTGTGCCTACACATAAAACAAGAGAAAGTTAGATCCAAGGAGTGATAAGGGCATCTTTGTGGGTTATGATAAATACAGCCCAGTATACTTAGTCTATGTCCCAGTCAGGTTTGTAAACACAGACTGGTTACATTTGTAACTAAAACTGTGAGCGAGTGGCAAAGTCAGAACGACCCAGACGCGTTTGATGAGGAAATTTACACCAAAAGAACTGTTCCTGTGAAGTTGAGTCAGAAGTAAAACATCAGGTGTGAAAGGAAACACAAGGGACTTTGAGTGAACCTCCAGTGAACGAGGAAAACACGAGCATTAGACCGGATGAAGACCACCAGAGCCTACGTAGCTCTAACAGGGACAGAAAAGCAGCAACGCATTTAAAAGATTTGAATTTCAGATACAAGTTGAAAATTAGGACACTCGTCAGGGAGAAAAGTGAGCTGGAGCCCAGGGTCATGGACCTGCAGCAGTCTCTGTCAGTGGCCAAGCGAGTCACGGCCAGTATGAAGGCGCTGGCTAAGAGAGGCGCTCCTCGCGTGTCTCTTTTGGTGGGTGTGTTTTTCTGAGTTGGGGTGCAGGGCCGTGTAACCGATGTAGTCTATCTGTGACAGGGCAAGAGGAAGAGGCAGGAGGCGCCAGAGGAGTCTGCAGCGAAAGGAAATGAGTCCACAAGCGACTCCAGCAGCGAGAGCTCGTCGACTGCCCCCACCGATCCGGACGCTGGAGAACTGGCTATGGTGAGCACGGAGGCACCTTTAAATTTCTGTGTCCGATCCTTACCTCCGTGCACGTCTTCATTACAGTTTTCATCGCAGTTTCTCTCGCTCTGTCTCTTACGTGACTGGCGGGAAGGCTCGATTGAACCGAGATATTTTTACTGTTGTAAAGAAATAAAAAAAAAAAGTATATTTTAAGTTCTGAAATTATTAAATTAAACGTTGAACAGGATTTTTTTTTTAGTATGCTATATTTGATTCCAGTTCTTTTTACAGGTTCCTGAGTCTTGGGCAGCGCCAATGAGCAGCAGCTGTGGTTCACCTCCTTGATGAGCTCCAGGAGTTTAAGAGACTGTGCAAGTGTTCCTTTCCCTGCTGGACCACAACCGGTATTTGCTATCAGCCCCCTTGTGATATAACCCAAGTAATTAACTTACTTTGTTTTCTCCTTCGTGTTTCCTAGAACCTGCCTCCTGAGTCTCAAGTCCTGGATCCCTCGTCTCCTTCCTCATGCCTTCAGCCCAGTACTTACCATTTGATACCTGCAATCCTTCATTATGTCCTACTTTCAGCTGCTCCTACGCCACTTCACCACTGGCCCATCTACTAACCTCTATGATCCTTCTGTTACTCCTTGCCCTTGGACCATACCTATCCAACGCGTAATCCTCCTATCTACCTGTAAGGACTAGACAGCATTGTAAGAGGGTGACAAGACACGGAGGCCTCCGTCCCTGTTTAATGATGGACGGTTTCTTCTCACAAAGATGGCCTCCTTTACTCCTCTCTCAAACCATCGTTCCTCTCTATCCAGAATGTGAACATCTTCATCCCTGGAAGAGTGACCACTGGCCTGGAGATGAGAGTAGACCGCAGAGTCTGGCTGGAGTCCTGCTTGGGTCTCTGTTTTCAACCTGTTCTTTACCTGCCATTCCCTTCCTCATGCTCTTCCTCCTTTCCCAGGTCCCCCTGATGTACATACTGTATGTATATACAACTTCACTGTAAATAGTCACTTTAATTATATCGAGTCTGTTCCCTCAGTCTCATTTTAGTTTACCTCCAGTTGTGATAAAGTATAACTGACTGCAGTTCTTGTGATGGATGAGAGACTTTGTGATGCAAACAAATAAAAATAAACTCTGAAGCAATTTGTTTTGTTGCCTCCTAAATGGTTGTGATTTGCATTTACTTACTTTCAGTGTAATATTTGCAAATGATTTAAAATCCAGTGCCATTCTTTTAAAGAAGAACAAACTTAAACATTACATCTTAATGACCTAAATCTATTGTCCATCATTTCTTAGATTGGCCTTTAATTTGACTTTCACTTTAAAAGCATGAGCTAAATGCATGAACATTTATAAACTGTGGTTTAAGTAATCACACGTTGAAATAGAAACTCGTGAACTGTAAATCAAAACACTATGCATTGAAGAGGGATTGATAATGAGTTGGTTAAAATAAGCTGCTGACAGCTGAGTGGAGGCTGTAGGAATGATGGGGAAGAGAGCCAAGCTGCCTGAAAGGATTAGAAGGGAACTGC